ATGTGTATAATTGAATGATACGATACACAAATTAAATCCCAACTAAAAAAAAATCTAAAACATATCTTTCTTCACGAATGAAGTATTTTAGAGCATATTTATGGAAACAGAATTGGATAAAACATAGGAAGGATTATAGTTAAAGTAAGAAACAGGAAGAAAACTAGATTACCAATAATGTAAAGAAATAATTTAGGGAAAAAAATAATTTCAAATGTTTAATAAACCTAACAGACCAATGGTAGCATAAATATATTTAAATTTTGCCTAAGTGGTATATTGATTGTTAAATAAATATATAGGCAGATCATAGATATATGTGCATGCATGTCTGTGAGTGTGTGTGAATGTGTGTATGTATACGCTGGCTTGAATACGCACAAACATATTTTCAAGATTCATATGTGTATATTCTTAAGCAATGAATTATATTTATGATGGTTAAAGACAAACACTACTTAAGATGATCCCTTGAGAATCGTTGTTCTATAAGCCAACACGCTTCAAAACACAGAATGTGTTATTTCATTAAAAGGCCAAACCATATATTTCATTTACATATTGTAACAGATGTGATCATTATAAAATGTTCATATTCTAAATAAATTAATAGAAATAAACACAAGAGGGAAAAGGTACAAGGTAATTATTGTCCTTTTCTATCTCTCTTTTAAATTCATTTCACAAATTGGGTGAAGATTTACATAGTAAACTCTGAGCTTTACATTCAGAAATTCTTGTTGTTGTGAGTCTGTTTTGCTTCAGGATGACAATATGTACAACAAAAGGAAATGGAGCAGAGTCTGCATTAATCTCACAGTTATTATGTTTGAATCCATTGTCCCAACCACTGTGTGCATAATGTTCTGAATGTTCAGGAGATTTTCAGTATCTAGGAAATTTGGATGCCATCTATAATATCACTTATCTCACTTGCTCTTTGTTTTCCTGATTTTCATTCCTTGTTCTTCCTAACACTTCAAAACACTTTTCTTGGGTAAATGCTGTTTATTTGTTCTGGGATAGTTGATTATTCTTAGGTGTGTGTGACCTATTTGTGTTAGTGTTCCGCTTATAGATCCCCCTAATGTTTGATTATAAATTGAACTACAGGGGATAATTCAGTTTCAGGCTTTCAGAGTGACCAAGGATTATATTTGGCAGTTCGGTGATGATTTAATTTGACATGTATGAAGGTGTAAATGTAATAGTGTAAAAAAGTCTTGGCAGCACATTGAGTTAATTATTCTTCTATTACCTGAACGGTTGGAGGTTCAGACACATCAGCCACTCTGCTCCCATAATGATTATAGTTTCAGAAACCCTACAGAAAAGTTCTACTCTATTTTATTGGGTCGATAGCAGCCCCAGCCCTGTGGCTCGTCCATCAGGCCACCCTTAGTTGTTCGGCTTCCCCAACAGTCTCAGTAGGCCCTGTACCTCCCCCGAGGGTCCAACTGGGCCCTATAAACCCACTACCAACCCAACCCAGACACTCTCCCCAACCCCTCCATTGCGCTGCACCTGGAAGCTCAACTCTTTTGCAGGCCCAGCCCAGCTCCATGTCCCCTCCCCCCACTTAGTAGACCTCCACCCTGCAGCACCTCCACTGCAACACTCCTGCCCCATGACGTCCATGCAGTGCCCCATGACGTCCATGCAGTGCTACACCACATCTAGGGGAGCTCCCACCACCCCAGCCATGTCCACATTGTTATCCTTACAATGGCCTCGCAGTTTGCCAAACACTGCCAGCCTCAATCCAACCTCCAAGGCCTCCCTCTGACGCTCTTCACCAACCTGCTGCTGCTCCATGCCCAATCAGCCTACACAACAACACACTTGCTGGCCACACTATATGGCCATTGTCCTCAGAGAGGCCATCCGAACCACCCTCCGAACAATGGAATTCTGGTAGGCAAAAATGAAAGGGGAACAACCTCAGAGGGATAGAGGCAGCCAGATCCCCAGAACAGGTGACTACAGGCAGCCTGCAGAAGGATTCCTACCAGCCTCGCAAAGACAGACATAGGGCTCTTTGCCTCCCCAGAAAATAGTGTTGATCTCCTCCAAAATGACACACAGTCAGCAGTGTGCCACAACAAACACTGAAAAAACAAGAGAACCAAAACACAATGTCAGAGGAAGTCCGGAACCTTGCTAACATGCATAGAAGAAACAGAAGTTGACCTTTCAGAGAAAGAAATTTCAGAAAGCTGCTTGGAGTCATACAGAATATAAGCGAAGCAATTCAAAAAAGGATGAAGCAATAGAGGAGATAAAGGACCCACAATAAAGGGAAATGCAAGAGTTAAGGGATGAGATAAGAAAATCAAATAACAAGTTAACAGAGTTCACACGCAAGCAAAGAGTGGAG